CCCCCCCCTCCATCTCAACCCCATTTTAACATACACTACGCCTCAAATTTGACTGTGCTTTGCTATGGGCCATTGAATGTTTGTCCATTCTGGTCTATTTTCCAATTATAAAACTTACATACTTAAAATCTTTTTCTTTCCTTTTATCAAAACAGATCCTCTATCTATCAAAGACAATGACACAACCCAGCAAGACCCTCTTGGTCTTGACTCATTCTATAAAAACATCTTGGACCAGTTCTTCCCAAGGCGAAGGTAAAAACGAGAAAGAACCCAGTTAGTCTGCAGTTATGTAAATGGAATAACAAATCGTAGATACTGCTGCTGTCCCACTATTGCTTGATTCTTGGAAGGCAACGAATAACGCAGACACAACGTTGATGGCAACAGAATTGTATTTTATTTCATTAGATTCATCAAATACTGTACAAATACGGATCTAATAAAGCTTTAACAATGTTTTATTTAGTACCAAAATTACAATATATAAATATGATTTACATGATTTGCTGTAAGAAGAAACGTCTTTTAGGAACGGTCTGACTGTAGACCTAATAACTATGGCTAGGGCTAATTTAGACAGCCAGAGGTAAAAAAAAGTTTCAACAAAAAGCCGATAAAAGAAATATAATAATAATTTTTGATGAAAACTTATTTCCAGATATCCCACATATTTCCTGGTATTGTTAGGTTATTTGCTGCGGGTATAACTTCGTCTTTATTAAATAGAAAATAAAACATATTTACTGCAAACAATGATTTGTCATTTTTCTGAAAACAGAAAAAGTATTCAATGGTCGGTTGACATGGAGACTATGGCGTCATGTCTTTCGTGGTCGCCATATCGCTTGACATGAAGACTAAGACGTCATGTCTTTCATTGTCGTCATATTGGTTGACGAGTGGTGATAACTAGTAGAACTAGCGTTGACTGCCTCGGTGTTTCTGAATACAACAGTAGGAACTTGTAGATAAATTAGATCACCGTAAAAAGCTTTGTGAAAGTGACGTTTCGTCACTTACTCCGACGAAGGACGTCCCGTCAGTTTCACAAAGCTTTTTGCGGTGATCTAATTTATCTACAAGTTCATATTGGTTGACATGGATACTATGACGTCACGTATTCCATGGTCGCCATGTATGGGTTGACATGAAGACTATGACGTCATGTCTTCCATATCCGCCATATCGGTTGTCAAGGAGACTATGACGTCAAACAAGAAAGTTAAATCCCGTGCGTTATGACACCCAAACCGTGCTAAGATTTTTTGTCGTTCGTATATCTATTTTAATCTTCATGTAGAAAACTTGTATCTATCTCAACTAATCTGTAGTAATCTTTCTCTCTCTCTCTGTCTTTCTCTCCCTCCCTTCCATCCTCCCTTCCCCTCTCCCTCTCAGGATTCAACGGCTAAGATCTGGAATCATGCGGCTCATCTCCAGTAAACAAACTTTCTGCAACACAAAGTTACTAGGTGACGCTGGATTTTCGCGGAACATATCTGCATCGGTTGTGTTCGCCTTCATCGTCACCAAATTTACCTTACTGGGAGGTACATGGGGAAATTTCGTAACCGGAAGTGAACCAAGATCTATGCCCTTGTCCAAATAGACCCGGTCTTTGAGAAGATGCGGATTTGATTTGACGCCTTTTCGCAGTGATTTGTGAGAAACTCCTGCACAAAAACGAGTGCGCCTGCCATCTTGTTCCCCTTGCGTCGATAAACGATCACCACTTCTTAGTGTGTTGCAACTCAACGCATCAAGCTCGTGGGAACACTTCGCATCAAACCGCAAAGAATGCATATTCGCTTTCGTCGTTATGAAGTACATCCCAGAGTTCAGTCGGTTTTTACTAAGATATTTTACTTCTTTTAGCGGCAATTCGGCCTCGTCCGTTTGAACGGCTTTTGCTAGCATTGGCACAGTTTGTCGAGTCAATCTGGTGATAACCAGTGAAGAGGACTCATTTTCTTCTGCACCTACCACCTGAAAGTACATGGAAAATACCGAACTATTCAATTGAACGTGAAAACGAACGCTAGGGCGGCACATGGCACCGATAGAACACTCATCGAGCAATACACGCGCGCTTTTATATTACCAGTGCTGTAAAACTGACAAAACAAAATACGAAAAGATCCTTGTTTTTGCCTTTTTTGTACTTAAAACTCGAAGATTTTGGCGGCAATTATGCTTTTTAGGCTATATGATGAGAAGAATTTGACTAAACTGTGTGCGCCCTTTGACTAAACCCWTACCAATTTCAAAAAATATGAATAAAAGTAAATAAAAAAATATACGTCGTACCTGGGGTATTATTATGTCCTCTTGGTCTTGTTCTTGGACACCCTTTTCTGAGCGATCTTTGGAGACAAATGGACGAGACATCGTCGGATTATGAATGAACAGTAGTAAAACCGAAAAGGTAGATTAACAGTCAAATCAACACTGCCGCCTTATGCGATCGTGCAGTCACCTAAATATATATATTTTTTGGGGGGGGGGCTGGTTAAGTACTAGTATGATGTGCGTCACTTGATATTTATTTCCCCTTTTTGTGCTTCCTATTCGTGCGACATTGAATTACCTCAATGGAGCAGCATATGCGTTATAAATTCATATATCTCTAGTTTTCTATAGGTAGCAACGATTTCTTAAGATCTGGTTCTCATCTAGCGACGCCAAGCATAAGCACAAGCGCAGTCCAATAAGAAAAATCTTTCATTTTAGAAATTGCGCTTTACTTCGTGTTTGTTCGCTTCTTTAGAGTTGCGTCGCAACTTTGAAGACTGAGTTGTAGTTAGAGCGGAGCAAGGAAGGAAGAATGAAAGAGGAAAGGGTAAGGAGAAAGAGACCTCAGTCACTGGGAATGAAAAAAAATCTGTCTTAGAATTTTTCGAACATTAGGAACTCCTTTCTGACCATCCCACCCTAACGACTTACATGTTGTAGATCGGGTAAGCCTGGCACTAGTGGCTCGCACTGCATGCTGGAACTTGTTTTGGAGAAGAAACCAAAATGGCGGACGAAGTGGAAAAAGTTTTGACCAACGACTGCTTGATAAATTTACTCTTTATAAAGGATTATACGACATAAAAATGCCTAAATCACCTAAGGGAAAAAAACGAAAAGTACGTCCTAAGAAAGAAAAGACAAAGAAGCACCCAAAGAGGTTAAAATTTGAAGATGATGATGGTGATAATGTCGAAGTAAAGAGCGCGCTTAGTTCGTCTGACTCTGAAGAAGACCACGACGAGAAAGAAGAAGATGAACAGACGAACTTGGAAAGAATGCTGGAGAAAAATGCCAAGAAAAATAATCTAACAGCTATTAATGTGAAGAGTATTTTACATGTAAGTACGTTAGGTTTTTTAGAGACAGGTTAAGAAAATATTGCGAGAAATACTCAGCGTTTATTAGTTTTTGCCATAATAATTGTTACATCTTTATTCATCATTTTATGTTTTTATGAAGCATGTTGTCACGGATAAAAGAGTACGGGATTTGGTGCAAAAAGTTATCGCTGAAGAGACAGCGAAAGAGAAGGAAAAACACATGGAGGACACAAGTCCATTGGATGACATCGATTTTGACTTTGTAAGTCTGTGTCAATTACTGTCTTTACATAGGATGGCTTTTATATTATGATTATGATTATGAGGTTTTCCAAAGTTTTCCATATCGGAAGTAATACCAAAACGTTTTTTTTTTTATCCAGAGAGTTGCCACTCGGCAATATTCACAGAATAATTGGCGAAAACTTATTGTAAAATACTAAAATCACAAAATAATTTCACAGGAGCCAAAAATGACAAGATCCAAGTTCAAGCAAAGGCATCAGGATGACCCTATTGCGAGACTGGTATGTTCTGATACCCTTAAAAACTGAGTTTTCTACACAGCCCTCATGTGACATGTGACATCGCATGATGAAACGTTTGCTGTAAATAAAACACTGACTCCCCCCCCCCCCCCCCCCCCCCCCCCCCCGGGCCCCAAAAGTTTGCTTTTGGACCAACATTTAATTAATTCCTGCGGGATTCCTGTATTCCTGTGGATTAGGCCAGAATATGGTACATTGCACCTCCTATTAAAGCCCCTAATGCAAGGTACAGTCAACTGTTGTTACAGTTGACAACCTTGGGACCATCACTTGGTGTCCATAATAGTGAGCCCCATATAATTGAGGTCATTTCTTTGTTAGAGCATATTTTTACTGGATATTTTGCTCCTGTCTGCAATAGTGAGGTGTTCGTAATATCAGGGTGTCTGCAATAGTGAGGTGTCCATAATATCAGGGTGTTTGCAATAGTGAGGTGTCCATAATATCAGGGTGTCTGCAATAGTGAGGTGTCCATAATATCAGGGTGTCTGCAATAATGAGGTGTCTGTAATATCAGGGTGTCTGCAATAATGAGGTGTCTGTAATATCAGGGTGTCTGCAATAGTGAGGTGTCCATAATATCATGAAGTCTGCAAGATGAGAGTTGATCGTAATGATGTTTCTTGTATTTTTTGTTCAAAGACAAAATCACCAATCAAGAGTCGAAAGCCTGCATCTGTTGTAAGTCATAAAAGTCATGATGAGTATCATCATCATCATCACCATCAACAATGATATCATTATGATCATCAGCATCATTATCCTCATCATCATAAATCATAAATTATAATTATCATAACCATAACCATTATGGGTTTGCACAGGTGTTATAGCCTAGAGAGCATTCGCCTCTCAATGGTATTACTATTGTACGATGATATACAATGGTTAATATTCTGGACTTGAAATAATAGCAGGACATCAGACAATTTCCTCCAAGAATTCAAACTTGTCTGGTCAAATCTTTGCCTTGCTGCATTTTCACTAGTAACGTTGAGCTAGAAATGAGGTATAAAAGAATATTAAAACTAATTTAACCCGCCTTCGTGACCGCTGACATAAACCCTGATATTACTCTTGCCAACAAAAGTTCAAAGACATCCAAGTTCTTGACTATATCATCATGAAATTCATCATTTTTATTATTTATATGATTGATACATGTGATACATCGATACATAATATTTCATGGGATATTTTCTTGTTTGTATTTATCTTTCATTTAATATTTATTTGATATTGTTTATATTTCCATTATATTTATATACTTCTTCTTTATATACCTCACATGACCAAAATTTGCAAACTACTATATTTAGCTAACTGACCAGTTTAGCCAGTCTTGGTTATCTCTGTTAGCTTGGTACTAGATGAAGTTCTTATTTTTATGTATGTATTAATTTGTTTAACTGAGTACCTAATATAATTATTGTCATTGTCATTGTCACATGTAGTTTACAGATCTGGATTTTCCAGAGTCGTCATCTGACGAGGAATATGATCCAGAAGCTGATGAAGAGGTATGAGAGAAAAATTTATAGACCCCTTGCATGAGACGTCAAAGCAGCTCGATCTGGGGGCCAAAAAATAAGAATTTCAATCTCCTGAGAATTGAAACATATTGTTTTGGTCCCCCAGATTGAGCTGCTTTCCAAAGTGCTGCAACCTGGATCTATAGGTCATTTTGTCCTGTAAAATGTTGAACACTTTTCTGTAATAATGATGATTATTTATTTATTTTTGGTTTGTTTTTAGGATGAAGACACTGAAAGCTGTCTCTCCCATCAGAGGTAAATCAAGATTATTAGATTCTATATATGTAATATATTTTCCAGGTCTCTTTTTACTGATGATTTATTTACTTCCTTCAAAAACATGTGAGTTGAGAGTAGTATAGAACAGGGCTTAAAATTATGGCCGGATTTGGAAAATGTCTGCCCAGAATAGTCCCCTTCACAATTCCCTGTGCCATCTTGAAAGGTAGCCGTGCCTTTGCATCGAAGCTAGACGAACGGTGAGCTTGCAATGATAGAGACATGTGAGTAATATTGTTCAAGGTGTTAAAAAAGGTCTCTATCATTACAAGCTCACCGTTCGTCTTGCTTGGATGCAAAGGCACGGCTACCTTTCAAGATGGCGCAGGGAACTGTGAAGGGGACTATTGGAACATGTCTGGTCAAATCTTTGCCTTGCTGGTCATTTTGACCAGTAATGTTGAGCCAGAAACAAGGTTTAACAGAGTTAAAACTAATTTGATCAGTCATCATGACCACATCTCATTGATAGTTATTTTAAGCCCTGTAGAATATTCTAATGTAGTTAAGAATATGTATGGAGGATATACTGTCCCACAGGCTTCTAGCTTTAAAGCCTACCATGTATTAAATAGTAATGATGAAAAGGTAAATTATACACCAAGACGTCTTGGTGATCGCATTTGCAATCATCTTTATGATATTCGCAATAACGATCCCACCAAACCAGTTTCCCGCCATTTTAATCTAGCTAACCATTCTCTTT